CTCCCGCGAAATCGGGGTTTTTAAGACGTTCTTGTGATGGAAAGCAGAGAGGAGATGGTGATGCTGGCGGAAGGAGGTCAGCTTGGCAAGAGCGGCTCTAATATGTCGGAAACCATCGGGAGCCCCGTGCGAGAACCGCAGGGGAAGCCGGGCCACAGGAGCTGTCTGAGCCCCGGCGCTGCGCCCTACTCCCGGGACAGGACGGAGGTGATGGAGGAGAGCGCACGGAGGAATATGTGCGCCGATATGAGGCCAGTTGGCACGTCTTCCTCCGGAGAGAGACACCGGAGTGATCATCACCACAAAGACGGCAGCAGCTCAGACACCGAGTCGGACTTCTACGAGGAAATTGATGTCAGCTGCACGCCTGAAAGCATGGACTACCCAACAGCTAAGGGTAGGTTTGGGAGCTGCATGGCACTGCGGGTTTTTCTGGGAGTGCATGTTTGTGCTAATGAAGTTGATTGAATGCCAACGTGGATTGTGCAGATCAAAATAATGGCAATATACACCAGGACATTTAAAAATGTGCATGCATCATATTTAAAAATGTAAAATGGAATCGAATTGTTAAATAAATCCTTCGGTTAAATACAGTTTAGCTTCAATAACAGCAATTTATAAGTGCAGTCGGTGCTGCACAGCTGTTCTGTCAAGTGACCACTGTGGCTGGAAGCACGCTGAGGTGACACCCACAATCCAACGAGGCATTTTCCTCTCCGAGTGTGACAATGAGTCACTTGTACAGCAAATATCATATATATATATATATACACACACACTGCATGACAAACAAGGCCGGATTTTATGTAAACCACAAGCAAAAATATGAAGGGAAGGCCACTAACATGGGAATCTGTGGAGTGTGTACCCGGCATCTTCTAAGGTGTAGAGACTAGCTGCAAATGTGTTTCATCCGATTCCTAAATTACGTGTAAATAATATTAATATAGATATATGAATAATGCTGTTCGCATCAAACCAAAAGGATGGCAAGAAGAAGACGAACGAATGACAACATAACTTAATATTAATTATTTTATTTAATTAACTAAAATTATGATTCAACCCATCAATATACTTTGGATAGATGATATTAACTGAAATATTAGCAGGTAGTTAAGACTCCACAGAATAAAGACCTGCCCTGGGCTATACGTCAGGTAGGCCCTTATTAATAAAAGTGAAACAGTTAAAATAATGAAATTAGCCAAGTATTATTCAAATGTCACCTCTTAAGGAAATATCTTATTAGATATAAAACGAATGAAAGAAGTAAAACGTTTGTCTGTTTTCTCCCCTGATTTTTTTGCCCCAGCTGAATGTCTTAAACTTATTGCCAGTTATATCTAATTAATTATTCTGCACCCTGATTCAGGTCGAAATGGGGATTCTCCGGGTCACCCGAGTGAGACTGGTGCTGATCTGGGTTCGACTGTTCCAGGTCAGGGCTCTCTGTCCTATTCAGCGGATCAGATTCGCCGGTACCGGACAGCGTTCACTCGGGAGCAGATCGCACGGCTGGAGAAGGAGTTTTATCGGGAGAACTACGTGTCCAGGCCGCGGAGATGCGAACTGGCAGCCGCCTTAAATCTACCCGAAACCACAATCAAGGTGAGATTGCCTCCAGGGAGCAGACCTGAATCAGGCCTCCAGATAGAATACATACAGGTCTATCAAAACCAGAGTGCTGCACAACCGGTTTGAGCTCAAATAACTGATTCCGAAAGTATAATTTTATATAAGGAGAAAATATTGCAAATAAAGCCAGAAGAGCTATAACATGCAGACTAACCATTCACTGGGGGAAGAGGCCTGCATTTAAAAAATATATATTTTTATTTTATTTATTTATTTTCAACTGGTACAAGATCAAGCACACATTGTAGTCGGTTTGTTTACTATTAAATCCCATGTAATCCTCAAGTCTAAATCAAACAAATGCAAAAAAATCGTGCGTAACTCAAATCCAAATTTGTGCGTAAAAGCGGAAGTCCTAAATGAGCGGCATATCTGCTTTTGTTATTATAGTCTGTCAGTGGGGGTTGTGGTTAATATTTGACCTGGTGTGTCTCTGTCCCAGGTGTGGTTCCAGAACCGCAGGATGAAAGACAAGCGCCAGCGTCTGGCCATGACGTGGCCTCACCCCGCCGACCCGGCCTTCTACACCTACATGATGAGCCACGCGGCGGCCACGGGGAACCTGCCCTACCCCTTCCCGTCCCACCTGCCACTACCTTACTACTCCCACCTGGGTGTCGGAGCCGGCACGGGTCCGGCCGCCACCCCTTTCTCCAACCCCCTGCGCTCCCTCGACAGTTTCCGGATGCTGTCTCACCCCTACCAGAGGCCGGAGCTCCTGTGCGCCTTCAGGCATCCCTCCCTGTACCCGGGTCCGACCCACGGCCTCGGTCCCGGAGGAAGCCCCTGCTCCTGCCTGGCCTGTCACTCCAGTCAATCCAACGGTATCTCAACCAGGCCCTCCGCCTCGGACTTCGCTTGCTCCCCAACTAGCAGGACTGACGCTTTTGTCACTTTCACGCCTTCAGTTCTCAGCAAATCCTCATCTGTGACATTAGACCAGAGGGAAGAAGTGCCACTGACCAGATAAAACCAAAACAAACCAACTCTTGTTCTATATAAGCCTTTACCATAAGCTTTTTAAACCTAACATATAATAATATGACCAGGACTGAAACAGCATGAAGAGGTAGCCTGTAAGCAGTGAAAGCCAGCTTAAACTTGGGGCAAGATAATTAACCAGATCTTCAGCTATGTGACGCACAACGGATCTCCCATTACTGAAAAATAATAATCCCATTGCAGAGCCAGGACAGTGGTCTGAAATATGACGGCATGGACACAAAAGCAGATTTGATTTTTAGAAGATTAATTTGATGTGTGGTGGAGGAGGGGGGGATCCAGAGAAACGTTTAAATCTCCCGTGATGGATGGCGTTAAGGTTTTTTATCATTACTTGTCGTCTCTTTACGCGTCCAAATCGACCTACATGTATTGTTAGTTACGCGAGAATGATGCTTTCCATCTCTCTTTTTAACAAGGGGATTTGTTAACAGACTGCGGCCGTCTCATTATAAAGCAGCTCTCCACACCGGGGCCCTCCACGGCGGCCCGGGCCGAAATGTGCAGATGCTAGTGAAATTAATAAGTGATGTATATGTACGACCCGGTGAATTTTTGAGTGTTGAATTAATGATAATACCAGGAAGGGATCGTTACTGCCAAAAGGTAACAAGGCGCCAGGGGAACGGATTACTACAGCCCGCACGGTTTGACGAGGAGGGAGGGAGAGGAGAAGAAGGACCCTGAAGAGGATGGAGAGACAGAGGGAGGACAATCACAAAGGAAAAAAAAAAAAAAAGAACGAAGTGAACATTTTTTAAAGGCCATCAGTTTTCTCTCTTGATATGAGACAGTTCGAAAAACTGATGAAAATGTGATTAATATATTCCTGTAGGTCTCTTTTAAAATATTTTTTCCTCGCTTTGCACTTCTGCAGTGGCACCAGTTTAGTGGGATTTTGTGGAGAAAGGGGACTAACAAGTGAATGATTATGTTTGGTTTTTGTTTGTTTTTTATGTGTTTTCTTTTTGTTTGTTTTTTTGCTGGTTTGTCCTCAACGTCTAAATTGCAATAAACACTGTCAAAGAAGCAATGGAGCAATGAAGTGTGTGTCTTCTAAACGCCTTTATGAATTATTGAAATAGCCAAAAACCCGAATGCAGACATAAGAAAATGAGAATTCATTTTTTTAAAAAGGACCTAAAACGTTCCTCTAATCAAAAGACAAACAATACAAATAACAGCCAAACAAGTTTTCCTCCCTTCAGGTCATCTTATTTCGTGTGTATGCTGTTAAAGGATTTTCGATGCTCACAATTGTTCTAGCACCCCAGCACCCCCCCTTCCAATAATAACACTAATTTTGTTCTCAAGTGGTCTGTGTCAGAAACACCAGTGTGCCCCCATATCTCCTGATGGGACCGTTAGATTGACCGTGACAGTTAAGTGGTCCCCGGGCTCCGCTAACGGTCCTCATATTTTCTCTCCGACCACTTAATAGACACGACAGAATTAGTTGTCTGAAGATATTGGAAATGCAACGAGATCGATGATTCAGAGGGGGCCCGCCACCAATCAGCGGGATCTTAATTGGCCACATTTGACCGGGGCTGCGCAAATTAAAAGAGTTTTCTGAGTGTAATAGGATTGTGGTCCGCAGAGAGACACACAAATCACATTTTAAAATGGGTTTTCTGCGTCTTAGATGAGAGAGATCAGAAGTTATTGCAGTAATGTGAGGAGAAATAGCTGGCATTCAGCGTGGGCCCCTAAATCCACCTGGAAATAATACTGGCCAACTGCTTCATTGTAGCAATAATCTAACAAGCAAGGTTGCATTTTATTTTCTGTTTTTCAAAGAAATAGTTTTCTTTTTTCAGATTGTTACATAACCCTTCAGTCTTTGTACTAACGAATAATACATTAATTCAAATTATTCCATCCCATTGGGTCCAGGTTATCTCTTCTGTTCCCAAAATGAAAACCAGACACCAACAATGTCCTTTAAAGTCACTAGATTTCCATCCTCCTCTCATGCTTTCTGAGGTAAAAGGTTCATCCTCATCAGACAGTACTGCACACGCACCGCACCGCAGAGCCTTCCCTCCCCCCTCTCTCTCTCTCCCGCACACACACGTTTGATTGATGGCCTTATTAACTGGAGTTCTTGTAAGTGTGACTGAGCTGATTAAAATGCATATGTTTGGAATAATACACCGTTTAAGCCGCCCGGGTCGGGGCGAAACCACAAGGCAGATTTATGTAAACTATCAGCCGGTGTCTTTAAGCCTGATAGGGACACGGGTCATGCAGAAAAGTGGCTTTGGTTTGTGCATAATAAAATCGTACCATAAAATAAAGATGAACGGATCAGGGTAGCTGAATATTATAAAAAAAAAAAAAAGGCGCAGTCTCTCCAAAATTCAGGTTTCATGGCGGGTTATTTTTAACAGCCTTGAAAGCCTGGAGCTGATTTTCATTTGGTTACACAGGAGCGGCAGCACTATACGATCATCTTCGAAACCCGCGTCACACTGTGCCAGAATGACACATTAAAGTGAGGCAAATTACAACCACATTTACCCAGCCACGCATATGGATCTCCATCTCTATACGACCGAATCCTCAGCGGCCTAATCCAGCATCAACATGCCATTTAATCGCTGAAAGATTGCGTATGACTGAGCTTCAAGATATGATGGGCTCATAGATTGCGCACATAACTCCAATTACACCAGCCTTATAAGATCCTATTTGTGAGAATTGGCTCAGGGCTCCCCAGCTCCCACAACTAGCACAAAGCATTTTGATAGGGGCGGTGCAGTGCAGCTGTCCACCGACAGCAAATTCAGAAAAAAACACCAAATGGATCTGTGGCTGCTGCTACCGCTGTTTAAATTGGATTACATCCTAATTTACAGGCCCTTGTCGTAACGCAAGGGGCTGGCGGAGGCGTGGACGGACCAATCACACAGTAATGATGATGAATGGGAGATTAATGCGCATACAAGCAAGACAATTTAAGCCTTCATCTGTTTAAATAGGCTTCCAATATCATTTGGAAACGGGGGTCACGTTAAATCAATCGGGGGACGCGTGAAAGTCGTTTTCGGCGGCGTCTTTATCAACCTTATTTACGGTGCACCGGAGACAGCTATATGGAGCTGGAAAATGGGCCGGCTGTTACCTGCTTAAGTGACATACAAGAGCAAGAAAAACAGCAGGATGGATTCAGGATATTTGAAAGAAAAAAAAAAGACCTTTAATGCGCTTATTTTAAGCTGTTGAAATCAACTAGAGCCGAAGATGTTTCTCAGTGCACATTCATGTTACAATTTCCCCTTCTGGACCGAAAATGATCATCTTTAATCCAAATAAACAACACAGTAACAGAGGTTCTGTCATCAAACAGTGCATTGAAGGGAAGGCAGGGTTTAAAGAAATAAAAAACCTTCAACATTCAGAATGGATATCTTATCATTCACCCTCATGCATATCACCAAACTACAAGTTTTTTTGCTACACAGTTAGCCTTTATCGGCATAAAATGGTAGTTTGTGAACGACAAAAAAAAACCCCATTAACATCATTCATAGATGCACGTAGCCTATGTCAACTTTAGACTGGCAACACTACAATGTAGTATTTGGTAGGCCTTTATCCCGAAAGTTTACAAGCGCCAAAACAGTATTTTGGCGGCCGGCTGAGTCATTACCCACAAGTAGCCAATTATCGCCCTGTTCAAACATTGTAGGCACATTGAGGTGAAGGTGAGATTCAAACCGAAGGAAAAGGAAGTTAATAAAAAGTAATAAATGCTTACACATGCAGAGGGTGTGGGATTGGACATTGGCGGCCAATACTTGTGATGTTCCAACTGTGGCATTTTTATTGTTCCACCTGACATGGAAATAGGAAGCCGAATAAAGCGACTAGCTGCTTTTTATAGCCCCCCCTTACAGGTAAGCAGTTGGAAAATACCATGTAGGTGGAACTTAAAGTTTTATAAATAATTATTCTTTGTGTGTCTAAAAGCAAATATCCATATTTTATATTAACATAAATATTTTATAGAGGTACAAAGTCCTATTATTGAAGCAGTGACACACAATAACCAATTATTTAACACAAATCAATAATGTCTCTGCACTATACTCCCCTCCTCATTAATATGGTTTGCTCTTGGAGCTTTTAAGCAGGTGCGTGAACCTGTGAAACTCTTTGGCCGTATGAAAGAGGTGAGTATGTACAGTGTCTTTCTCTACTAGTTTTCAGAAAGATAATTATACACTTTACATTCAGTTCTCAAAAGCTTAAAACGGTAAGTAAAATGGTCAGCGTTCAATAGAAATTGAAAATCGATAGCTCTGCGCAACTAATCCTTGGTGCATACAATAACATAGGCTTAGCAAGTCAATCAATTGACTATTAATTATCAATCTAAGGTACTAGAGCCCCCACTGTCCATTATAAAGATCAATATAGCTCCACAAAACATTGAATCATACTTTGTTCTGTTTTCAAATGTTAACACTTCTCACTATTTTTCAAGATGGGGAAAAAAAATTTAGTTAACAAAAACTAAACCTTGTGACAAATAATCAATTTTACATTTATTTTGAAATATTTGAGGAACATTCTTTAATATGTGTTGCTGAGGAAGGAATGATCTGAAATGGCATTAATTATATTCGGAAGGAAAAGGGAAATCTTTCACAATTAATGCATATTAAAGCATGTTCGGCAGCACCCCCATTCTTATTGGCATGCAGTCATTTATCTGCACTACCAAGAGATGTAATGATTTCTGAGCTATGTCTTGGGAAGTTTCCTACTACCATTTAGATGTTTTGCACTCAGAAGAACCTAGAGGTCAACGTTTGAACACAATTTATTTTACTTTACAAAAGCAGTCTTGGTTTTTGACTAAAATTTGTGCATTGAGCTGTAACGCTTTAAGGCTGTTATGATACATTATTAATAGACGCTGCAACTAATTCAGGACAACATAGATGAATGGTTCAGATT